CCCAATCCTGAGAATCAGGCAATAGTGGACACCGCACCAATATACATTAAGCGCCATATAGAGAGCCTCATAGACCAATTCAGGAATGAAGTTATCAATGACCTGAAGCTAGAAGTATGCAGAATAGTTAGAGAAATGCTAAGCACCACCCAGGAAAAAGCAGATGGTGGAATGGAAGAACAGAAAAAGAGGGGAGAATTGTTTGATGGAGAAAACAGAGAAAACATTGAGTATGTGAAGCAGGTTCAAAGGGACTATCAAGAAATTAAGAAGTCTATCCAAGACTGGCATAACAGCTTGAAAGAAACTAAGGACAGACTATCTGAATTGGAGGGCAGACTTGAAACATGGGAGAATGAAATGAAAAACTTCTTAAAAATAACAAAGAAACACACAGCAATAATACAAAGACAAGAAGATGATAAGAGGAGCCATAACTTAAGGATTAAGAACATAAAAGAAGAAGTAGGGACACAAACAAGTGAACTACAAAAGCTACTCACAGAAATAATCCAGGAGAATTTTCCTAATTTAGCAAAAGGTAAAGATACTCAGATGTATGAGGCATACAGGACCCCAGCTACCTACAACCCTAACAGAGAAACACCCAGGCATATAATAATAAAAATTCCAGAAATTCAATACAAGAACAGAATATTAAAAGCTGTAAGAGACAAGAAACAGATCACTTACAAGGGAATACCCATCAGAATTACAGCAGATTTCTCTTCACAAACCATCAAATCACGAAGAGCATGGGGAGAAATAATTCAAGCTTTGAAAGATAATAATCTACAGCCAAGATTGAGATATCCTGCACAACTGTCCCTGGAAATTGATGGAAAAACGAGGTGCTTCCAGGATAAAGAGGAACTGGGGGAATTTGCAACCACCAATTCAACCCTACAGAAAGTATTGCAGGATATTCTAAAAAAAGAAAAATACAAAGAACCCAGAAATAGTGGCGGGGAAGCCACAACGAATGGAGCAGAGAACAAAATGAAGAAGACAAACTGACAGCTACTGACAGAAAAAGAGCTCAACAGAAATGAGACAGAGAAGATTGGATGATAGGAACAGCTTTTTTTGGAGAAAATGACATCTTAATAGGTAATGCTGATTTAGTACCATCTTGTTTTGAAGTCTCATCTAGCTTTTGTTCTTCTGTCTCCAATGGTCTAAACAGGTTGTATCTTATTGGATTTTGTTATGTACGATAGTATAAGCAAAAACCTTTTAAAGACAAGGAGATTATACAGAGACCATTGTTCATTTTCTGTTAGTCGATTCTAAATACTCTATAATGCTGTCATTCTCTTAAATGGTTTTACATTGTTTTGATATACTTAATGCTACAGTATATGAAGTTGTACTCAAGGACTTCAGGGAGGGAGTCAATATGGTAACTATTTTTGGGTCAGGATTATCTGGTGGTGAAACACTATTCTGCTTAAATGGTTATGTTTTGATCTGCCCTGTTTCGCTGTTATGCCCTCTTTTTTCTCAATCTCCACTCCATTATTTACTTTTTTATTTTTATCCATTTAATTAAAGGGAAAAATATAGCAGGATATAATATAGTAACCCACTTTGACTTTCTATTATCTCGATTTGAAGCCCTGTATTACTCTCACCATCTTGTTTTTGACTGAGGTTCCTCTATTCTGTTTTGCTGGATAGTATCAGGTTCGAAAGTTTAGGCATCAGCTGAGAAGATAATGAGATTCATTATAACGCCCATTCTCGTTGACTTTTATCTACTTTTGAAGACCTACAATATCTCCAATGTTTTGGTTTTGTCGGTTTTATTCTTTACGGTTTTGTTCAATTGTATAACAACTAATGATATAGGCAATTCTATTAGAAATAGCGGGAGGCATTATGGTAACCATTGTTGATCACCTTGTATTATCTTTTTATATTATCTATTATGTCCACCCTTTTGACTTGACCGATTCTGTTCTGTTATGTCACATTTGGTTTTACTCTCTTCCAAAAAAGCAATAAGAACCGTGGGAGCAATGAAACCCAAAATGTGTAATAGTCACTGTACAAAAGAGAGGAAAAGAAAGTGCTCTAAACTGTATAACTGCATGTATATTTAAATGTATAAGATAGAAAATGATATCACAGAGTTTTATTGGATCATTGAACAGAACTGTTTGCAGTATCATTGTTGGAATGTCCACTCTATAAGCTTTAATTTTGTGACTTGAACAATTATTTCTAAGATGGCAATATGTAATCCATTAACTAGTGATTTCCTACTGTGCATTTTTTTCTTCTGTAAATCTGTATAACTTGTACCCCTTCACTGTTTTTCTTTCTTTCTTTTCTTTTCTCCTTAAATAAAAAAAAGAAAAAAAATAAAATAAAATTGTAAGTTTTTTTTAAAAGATCAGTAATTTTGATAAATGTTTAGCTGGATTTATCATTAAAAAAGAGAGAGTTCATAAGCCAGGCATGGTGGTCATGCCTCTGCTCTCTGCTATTTGGGAGGCTCAGACAAAGGGATTCCAAGTTAGAAGCCAGCCTGGGAACTTAGCAAGACCTGCTCTCAAAAATGCAAAACTAAAAAGACATAAGGTTGTAGCCCAGCACCTCCTAGATTCAATCTCCTGAGAGGGAAAAGGAAGAATATCAGCAATAGCATTGTTTTTAAATGCCCCATGTCAATAAACTAGATAACCTAGATGTAGAAGGACCAGTCCCTTGAAAGCCACAAGATGCCTATATCTTCTAAAACACTAATTCATAACTTCAAATATTTAAACAATATGTATATAATAATAATACACATATAAAAGATAAATCTGGAATAGATAAAGAAACTCTGACTTCAAAATAAGATCACAGTAAAGGTGAGCAAAAATTTTGAATATATACCTAACAAAAGGATATATTTAAGTGCCCAAAAAGTGCACAAAACTTACTTAAATCCAGCCATGAGGAATGTATAAATTAAAACCATGAAGCAATGTAAGTGTACATCTACCAGATGCGCTACAGGTAAAAGATCCACAATATCAAGTATTAGCAATGATGTGGGACAACTGTAACTCTTATACATTGTCTCTGAGATATACAATGACTTTGGAATTTCTTATATGAAATTTGGCAATTTTTGTAAGGTTAAACATACACATACCACATTATCAAAAAAACTTCACCTAGAGATATTTCCCAAGAGAAACAAAACATAAATGTATCTTTTTAAAATGACTTTTTTTTTTTTGACAAGATCTTACAATGTAGACCAGACTGGCCTTGAACTCATGGTGATTCTTCTGCCTCAGCCTCCTGATGCTGGGACTACAGGCATGGGCCACCACACCAGACCCAAAATGACTTGTATATGAATAATTGTGGTAGCATTATTTATAATACACTAAACCAGAAATAACCCAGATGCCCATCATTTGCTGAAAGGATAAACAAATTGGGATGCATTCACTCAATGGAGTACTGTGCAGCAATAAAAATATAAACTACTGAGATAAACAACAAACACAGATTAATCTCAAAAACAATTCTAAGAGGGAAAAAATGATTCAAAAGAATGCATAGGATATGATTCCATTTACATGAATTTCTTGATCAGGCCAAACTTATCTATAGAGAAAATGCAGACCAGAGGTTGCCTGGGAGAAGGGACTAAGGGAGTTAACTGCAAAGGAACCCAGAGGGACTTTAGGAAAGGCTGGTGGACATGCTCTTGTCACTTTCTAGATGTTGAAGACGGATGGATCTCATCTTAACTTGTCCTTGCATAAACGTTAGACACAGATAGTTATAGAGATGGGAAGGAAAGGTGTTCCCTATGGCAAGTAAGGAGTCACAGAACAGGAAAATTGAAGGGAGAATCGGGGAAGAGCTGATAGTGGTTTTTAAAAATAACTTTATTGAAGTATAATTTGCATATGATAAAATTCATCCAACTTAAATTAGATGCATTTTTAAAACTGTGTGCAGGCCTGAGTGACCACCATCTTATAGAGTGCTTTTTTTAAATTATCACTTTGAGATTTTTTGTCTTCAGGAAGTTTTATAATCTGACATTAAAACCAAAAAAAATATGGAAGCACTAAAATAGGCTATGATATCCATAAGTCTTGGAATCAACTCTAGATTTAAATCTTACTTCCTTTTGGTTTTGTTTTTTGTCTTTTTTGAGACAGAGTCTTACCACACAGTTCACACTGGCTCACTTGAGCTCACTTTGTAGCCCAGGTTGGTCTTGAACTTGCAACAATCCTCCTCCCTTAACCCCCCAGGTGCTGGGATTACAGACATGTGCCACCAAGCCCAGTTTAAATCTGACTTCATGAGCATTGCCACTTAATTTCTTGAAGCTTCATTCTCCTCATCTACAAAGTAGAGATCTCTAAAACCACTGTCACGATATTTCTATGAATACTAAAAGTGTTTCAGGCATAATGCCCGGCACATAGTAGGATCACCAAAGGGTATTTGCTGTATCACAATTACACAGGCATTTGTTGTATAGTTGCCCTGTAGCTCAGGGTATGGCCTGCAGAACTTGCCGAAGGTTTCCATAAATGAAACTTAAATGACCACCAAAGCGGCAGTTCTGAGTTCCGCTTCCTAGCTGCTTCTATTTCACAATCAGTAGTGAGAGCTCCAAAGAATTTCATGCTCAAACATATTGCTTCAAGGTGAAATGGGCAGGCTATTTGAGAAGTGATTCTGAAACAAATTTAAAGTAGAACGCTTTAAAGATTTCCCCCTCAGGTTGTCACGTCTACTCCCTGGCCTCAAACAGAGCCCAGCCACCCACCGTCTACCTACCTGTCACCTAACCCGTTTAGCTCTGTGAGCTGCCTTGATGGCTGCCAACACCCGCAGCATACAGGTGAGGTGCTCCCTTAGTCAGGCTCAGCTCCTGAGGGCCCCAGTGGCTTAGCTCACAGCACACAGAACCCAGGACACAGCGCAAGCGTAACAGAATGTAAGGGTCATGGGGGCAGAGTGCCATCTACCTGAGCAACAAAGAGCTGGAACTCGTCAGGCAGAATCCATGAACGAGGGTAGAAGTTGTACTCCTCAGGAAAGAGATTCTGCATGATTCTCACTGCTCTGCTCAGGGTAATTTTACGCACCATCTCCGTCATGCCTGGGGAAAAGAGAAGCTGTGAGCTTTGAACGACTGCGGGCCACCAACTATAAAGCAGCTCTTATTTGGGACCTGTAAAACACCCACCCTCCACAGTCACTTTTCAGGCAGTGCTAAAATAAGATAACAAGCACGAGTTATTCCCCACAGTGGTGACTCGTGGTTTGAAAAGGTCCAGCAAATTAATGAAAATAGGAGGATGGGTCTCTTTCTCCTCATAAAAAAGGAAGCATCAGATTGAAAGGATGTATTTTCACCTAGTATCTTATCTTATTATTTGTCATCCCCGTGGGTAAAAAATAGAGAAGTTTTTCTATCTTGTACTTAAAATTTAATGCTCTCCTTAATTTGGGACCAGCACACATATTTCTAGATTCCTTCTATCTGTGCCCTGGAGAATATTACCCAGTGGACTCTGGTGACATTATGAGAAGCTTAATTCAGTTGCTTTGTTTTAATCTTTCATGACTATTAAAGGTATAAAATAGAAAAATACACATGTTTCAGCATAAAAATCTGTCTCCTTGAATCAAGGACAGGAAGTGGAAAGGATACATAACATCATAATTTATAGTTTAATGGGGGAAATGCAACCCATAGGCGTCCTGCCATTATAAGTACTGGCAGTGACATTGATCAGCTGTCATTAATTTACCCAGAAGGGATTGAAATGTCTCACTTAAGAACACTTTAAAGAATGATCATTTTTCTTTGCTTTTAACATCATTAATAACTCTGACAAGAGAAAAACTGAGCATACGTCTTAGTAATGCTTAAGCAAATGAGTGAAAATGATGGTGAATTTTAGCCCACTTATTTCTTAAGGCAGATACCACTGCTAAAAATGGATGCTAAAAATAGCTTTCACCCTGAAAGAGACTAAATAGTTCCGTTACTGACACTAGAAATTTGCTTAGCAAAGTTACTCTTAGGTGAAAGACTTCCATGTCAGCATCAAATAGCCAAATCATTATACACTCCAATGGGCCCAGTCCGAATGAAGGACACGTCTCTGAGCGCCCGCATTCAGCAGACGTGTGAACTTCTGAGAAGGAAAGTGTTTGTAACCAACATCTTGCTTCCCTCAACATGTGAAAAAACGAGTGATAATCTACAGGTCGCAGCTTCATGGTGTCGGCTCCAGTTCTCAGCTCCTTTGTGAAAGGGTACAGAACAGGATTGAATGAGAAATAAGAGAGCTTCAAACTTCCAAAAATCCATGTCTAACGTGGACTCTTCAACATTAAAATCACTGGGGACACTGTTCTGAGCATTCCAGGAAATAAATCTGAAAAATTACAGCTATTTTCTTTATTTGCCCACAAAATTAGCTTTTTTGAATTATGAAACAGTAGTTGAACACAAAACAAAATTTCAACATTTTTGGAACACTTTAACTTGTATTTGACTAACAGTTATGGTATTAAATTGAAAACTTTCCAAACTAACTCTAAGTAGAGCCCTTCATACCAATTAGATGGTAGACGGTGCCTCCTGATTACTGTTGGGATATTTCCACATTTAGTGGCTTAGTGGCATTTTAGAGACAGGTGTTGTGCCATTGCTTTTTGTGTCTTCTACCTGCTCAGCCCCACACCAGGTGAGAGATCTGTTTCCAAGGTGACCTTTGCGTCTCCAGGGAGTTCTCTGCTGAAAACAGCCAACATAAGCACCGCTGTGTATGGCAGGTGGCTTCTTTTCCCCTCTACTTCCTGCCTATGGCCTGTCAGCGGTTCACCCCCAGCCCTGCCTGAACGCCTGTCGGAGGGAGGCGCCAGTGTGGAAGACCTCCCTCAGCCCACTCACTGTCCGCATCTATTCCTCCACCCAGTGCTGCCAGGGAAAGAGCCTCTGGCCCCTCACTATACCCCGCGTGGGAGCTGTTGGCATCCCTGCCTCTGCAGTGGCTCAGAGACAGTGTGGGCAATGTCATCTTCTCACACTACAACCCTGACAAGAGTAGCTGGGTGTCTAGCAGAGCCCGGGCACATGTTCCCAGAGTGAATGTGTAAAAAGGAGGTCCCTGCCAGGCTCCTCAGGCCCCATGCCCCACCCTTCTCCTCTCAGCGGCTACAATACCCAGTGCCTCCCTGCTGTGCCCCGCCATGCACTCTGCACCTCATTCTGACTGGGGTGGAAGCTCCAGGTGTAATCAGCTTCTCTCTGCTAAACGTTTGACCTTAACTTTGGGTTTCAGCTGGATAAGGAGGCTTTGGTATGTTTTTCTTAGGTTCCATTGCTTGACCCCAAATTTTGACAACCTATTTTTGCTCCAAGTATCTGAGTGGCTCCTTCAGGAATGCACAGAGCTGAGCTTTGTCTTGTTTTCTTACTGCTCCTCCTCTCTCCGACCTTATTTCTGTTTCCTGTGAGCCTACCCAACAGGCTGGACTCCTGCCTGTGACTCTAGCCCAGTGCTCAGGGTCCTGCTACTGGCTAACAGGCTCTTTTGAGACTGATTACTAACAACCTGATTTCTTGGTAAAATCTACCCCTTGATGTCCCTACGTGCCAGTTCTTTGATCAATTGGGCAAGCCACCTAACCCAAGCAAGAGCTTCTGACACCAAGGGCTTGCCTCCTGCCACTTTCTCTAAGGCCTTCCTTTATCTGTCTGATCCTCTGGGACCACAAGCCCTGGTAGATCTCTTGGACTCAACCCAGAACGAAATAGTTTGATCCTCAGGCTTGCTCACATAGCCCTATTTAGCAGATGAAACCAAAACAAACTGAGCTTGTATTTGGAGCGCCACATAATCCAAGTAGCATTTATAATAATAATTCTCAACAAAAACACATTACAACCACCAAACAACAAATAAATACTTTCAGATCCACCCTCTTGAGTTCCCATTAGCACTAATCAGTTCATCTTCCACCTGATACTACGGAGCTTCTTAGCTCTGATTCCTCTTTTGTCCTTTCTATCTTTCTGCAATGTGACCCTCTGACTGATCTTTCTAGAACACAAGAAGACTTGTGTCATTCTCTGGTTTTAAAATGTCTCACTGGCTTTCTGTAACCCTGAGGCTGTAACAATGCTGTTCTTAGGTCCCCACTTACCATTTCTCCACCTCCCCTCTCACTTGACCCACAAGAACCAGTACAGACCACTTGACTTTCACTGAATGAGCAGCCTGTTCAAATTGCTGTGTGTCTTTACACCAGCTCTGCCCCATCCCCAGAGGCTCAGCTCCCAGGAGTCCTTTTCTCCAGGATCTCTCACTCCACCTAGCCTGCTCCTCTGAGCAAACTGGGTTAGTGCACACCCTTGCTCCAAACTCCTGGGTACTCCCAGCCTCCTCTGGCAGAGCACTCACTCTGGGTCTTCCTCTCCCCTGCAGCCTTTCTTCTCATCCTTGTACCCCCAGAGCAATGCTGGCCACCCTGAGAGGTTCCTCAATGAACCTCCTTCCCTCTATGACAGAAAGGCCCTCTTTGTGGTCAGCTCTCAGGTACCACCCACAGGTTCTGCCATATATCTCAGACCTCAAAACTCAGCAAGAACCCATTGTTTGAAAGATGAAGACTGACATTTTTAGACTTTCTTAAAACAAAGGCATATCTACATCATATTCCTTTTTCCGTACTAGGGATTAAACCCTGGGTCTTCATGGTTTGTTTGTTATTTTTAGACAAGGTCTTGCTAAATTGTCCAGGCTGGCTCAAATTTGCCATCCTCCTGCTTCAGCCTCCCGGAGTGCTAAGATTATAGGTGCGTGCCACCATGCACAGTCAGATTATTTTTTAATAGAAACTCTTTATTGCATCAGTTAGGATTAAAGAATATATTTAAATTACCCAAAGAAACTAACAGAAATAGACAAAAATTAACATGCTAACACAAATCATTTCCATGTATAGATTACAGAAGTTCTGTTTATGCAGCCTGTAAAGCATCTATGCTTTCCTGTCCCATTTACTGGAATGTACTAGAAAGTCCCATGTGTGAGAAACCTGGTTTTAGAACAATGGTATATCTAGGAATCAGAGGCAAGTGTGCACATAACTGGAGCCAAACGACAGCCTGGGAATTACTCTGCTGCTAAGGGTTATTATCTGCCAAGGGGTGAGGAGGATGCAGTGCTCTTCCTCTGCCTGAAGGTTCCAGAACCTTTCTCATTACAGCTAATTAATTGCTGTTAATAAAGTGGAAAATTACATGTTCCAATCGCTGGCATGTGGAATATGGGATGGGACAAACTTGCTGCTTTGAAATGAACATTCTTTTATCACCTTTCATCAGACTAGTCCTTCAGGAGTGCTTCTGTCTGTATTTATAATGTGTTCTCCAAATAAAGACCCATAGTCACTCCTTTTCTCCTCTTAGCCAGCAGCTGTGGCATGAACAGTGGAGAAAATATGGATGAAGCCTCATTTGATGATTCTCTGTTCCATTCAAATTGTGTTGTTCTCTTCCAAACTGTGTTCTCCCAATATCCAAGAAGTGCTTTTAGTGACATCAAAAAGCATACTTTCTCTGAGCAGCAAGACAGAAAATATATCACCCTGGTATACCTGCCTGTAAGAGTCATCTTTTTCTCTAACAAACCCTTTCTCCTTCCCTGAGGACAAATTTGACCTAACGTTAACTTGCTATCTCTGTTCCCCTAAAAACCAATAAAGGTAGAATGTTAACTGTATTATTTAGACAACATAGCATATAGTTAAAATGATCCCTGCTCATTAAATTGTAAAGGTACCTGGTAGGAGATCATAGTGTCAGGCTTTCTGGAGTGTGATGATTCTTTTAAATTTACATAATCCTTGCAAGGACCTTGGAAATTATACTATGGAACAACTCTGAAAGATACTTCCCTTTGTGGGGGATTTAAGCCAAAATAGATGTGAATCGTGTAGCCTTGTACCTGATCTTTCTTGAGGGGTCATAGACTAGATCCCAGAATACATGGAAATACTCTACAAAGAGAAAGGCTTCACGTTGACTGGCTGGGCACACTGTGTTTCCTTCTGTGAATCCTTCTCAGTAAATCTGAGGAAAGCAAAGCCTGTCCAGTGACATTGTAAGTCTGCATAAGTTGAAAACTTCCAAGTAGATACAACAAAACTAGCCAGTGTATGAAGTACAGAGAGGTGGTTTCCTTAAACACATGGGATACCATACCAAAGAAAAGTGTAAACTGATTTTCTATTTAATACCAATAAAAATGATATAATATTAAGAGAATATACCTTATATTCAGGTAATTTTATGCTGCAACCATATAAAAATGATAAACATGATAAAGGCTTTGGGGGAACTGTAGAAAGATGATTGGGATTCTGTTAAAAGGGTAAGGGGAGGCTGGGCTATGATGACTGTGTGCCACTGAGCCCTCTTTGTGGGTTAATGTGCCATGGAGATGATGGTACTAGGTAGAAGGCAGAAGCTGCTCATAGGACAGTATATAATAGTACAGAGACTGGTGCATTTGGTTTTTAAAATGGTACCTCCAACTATGACACTTTCTGTGATCTATTCCTTCAGTTTTAGTACTTTGGTTTCCAGCATGAGCAATGTTCTGATATTTTCTTTTGAGAAGAACATTCCTCTTAGACCCCCATACCATAGCTATACCCAACAAATGAAAGTCATGTTCTTCTTTTAGTAGAATTAGATCAAGAGAGTCTGTCCTTAAGCCTTTGAGAGCCCATCTGCATCTTTAAACCATTAGTGGTTTAAATCCTGATTATCTCTTGTTATCTTCCCTCCCCAGGTACTAACAGCGCAGCAGAGCTCAGGCTGTGAAGGCCAATTAGGAGTCCTCAAGTGTGATTTTAAAGCACTGTCATGTTTTTGCAGAAGACTGTACTCTGAGACTTGGCCCTAGAAATGCTTTCAAATGCTAACAAGAATAGCAAATACCTGGAAACTTGTTCACTTGACCACAGAATATGTCATTGTCATGAAATGAAACTCCGTGCCAGTAGATGTCACAAGGCAAGCGTCGGCCAAACGGGAACTAGAAAAAGTAGAGGAAAAATGATTAATAATAAGAAAAAAAGGATTGGTGACCACACTGGAGTCCGTTATATACACATTCCTGACAACTGGCATGCATCACGATTTAATCCTCCAAATAAGCATGCGATGTAGGTGATACCTTTTCCCATTTTATAGATGAAGAAACAGATTTACAACGTGATCAGGGCATCAGGGTTCTGATTCCATTCAGCAGACACTGTATATACTACCGGCTTTCCAAACACCATTTCACTTTAATCCTCACACCTACCCTTTAAAGGATTATTTTTACAGACTAAAAACTCAAGGCTGGGAGAGGTAATTTGACATGCCCTATGTCACAGAGCTGGGAAGAGGAAGAATCAGGATTTGAATCTAGCCCTCTCCAAATTCTCTTTCTCTGAACATTGCAACCCTCAACCCAGGCCCCAGTGAATGTTCAAAGCCACTCTTTTCTTTCTTGTTTTTCCTCTCTTCTCTTCCTCTTGTTCCTCTTTGTCTCCCTCTCCCTCTCCCTTTTCTCTCCCTCTCCCTTCTCTCTCCCCTCTCTTTCTCTTTCCCACTTTGACAAGGGTGATATATATTTCCAGTACCCAAAAGAGTTCCTGGAATCCAGCAGAGATTTCTTGGGTTAATAAATGGATAGGCCAAGAGTGGTCATCTGACTCAACATGAGGTAACTAGATTTTGACTTCCAGAAACTTAGAAATCAGAGATGCCTGGCAGCCTCTGATGGCCCTTGAACTAGGAGCAATAAAAAGGTAGAGCTGGACAGCTGTATGTGGCTGTTCACAGAAAGAAGCAAAGGTAGCCAATCTGCAGAGAGGGAAGAACAAAGGAAAAAATGTGGATAGACAAGAGGAGATAGATCATGCAGTCTGGAAACACAGATGCACCGTCCCAGGTCATATGCACAGGCCCTTGTGAGCCTGGCTGCCCCTCTTGCCTTTGGATCCCATCAAATGGGCTGTATCTTGAAGACATGTCTTTGATATTCTAAAGCCCCCTTTGTGTACGCTATATGGTTTGGATTATTTGCAACCACAAAAAATTTCTTACTGAGACAAAAATGCCTATTCTTTCTCCTGCGTCCTGCCACCTCCTCTCAAAGTAATTAACAAGCACTGCATTTACAGAATGCTTTTAAAATCTGTAACCCGGATGACCTTGTTAAAGGAGAAAAGTGAGAACATGTTACTTCATATTTAAAACTCTCTTGTTAACAGTCCAAAGGAAGAGAAATACCAAATGCATTAAATAAAAGCACTTTTTCCATTCTTGGACTACAGTTAATCAGAATTTTTATCTTCTCCAATCTGAGGGGAGAGTTCCAACGGAAGTACATGGCATGACTAATGAAATAGTGGTAACTCAATGGTTTCCAACCCTTCCAAATTAAACAGGAGGCAAACAAACTCCAGCCCTTTAAATCAGTTACATTATTTCAAAGTAGTGCCAAATGAGACATATGTTATACACTCTATTAGCATCAACAACTTCCATCTATAATTTGTAGCATTTCACTCATCTTCCTTGCATCCAATGCGCTGTACCTTATTTATTCTGTAGTCACAAATAAAAGGGATACAAGATATGCTATTTTATTCCAGCTGTTAGATGCTGATACTGAGAAAGGAAAGGTAACCAGAGAGGTGTCACTAAAATCCAGGTATCCAAGCAAAGTGTACTAAAATCAAAGTGGTCTTGTTTCCCATGAGGATCCAACCCTCACTACTTATCAGTGGATAAAATGAAGACATGTAATCATCTTACTAATTGTCCTTCAGTACTTTCTATCTTCATGAACACCAGACCAACCCACCACTCAGAAGTACAAGTATTGGGAAACTACCTTTCTTTTACATTTTCCAGTTATTCAATATGTGCCAGACACTGTGCCAAGTGCCACAGTGGCACACAATTTAAACACATTCCAGGAGTTCATAATCCTTCCTCCTTTTTAAAAATTTTATTTAAAGAAAGACTAAACAAAACAGAAAGTAGGTAGAAATAATACATACATTCAGAGAAAAAAAAATAAACAGTAAGAAATCACTAGTTGATGTTTACATATTGTCATTTTACAAATAGTTGTTCAAAATACAAAAACGGAACATGTAAAGTGGGAATTCAAACAGCGAGGCTGCAAACAGTTCTGTTCAACTGTCCAACAAAAACTTAGTAATATGGTTGTCAATCGTATACACTTAAACATACATGCAGTTATCCGTATCTTCATCTATGTTTAGATTAAACAAACTAAAGCAGTTTAAAATCATTCTGAACAAAGAATAATAGTATTGATGGATTTCACATCACGACACCATGTGATCAGCACTGGGTACCGGAGTGTCTTTTTAATCCTACCTCCTTTTAAGCTCCTTTAAAAACCACTTGTATATACAGGTAACATCATACACAATGGTAGAGGACTGTCTTGGTTACTTTTCTCTCATTGCTAGGACAAAATACCCAACACCCAAAATGAAGGAAGGAAAGTTTATTTAGCTCACTGTTTGTGGAGGTTTCAGTCCATAATCAGCTGATTCCAAGGCAGGGTGGCATGGCACAAGGGGCAATGATTCAAGGCAGCAGCCAGCAAAAGTGGGATAGAGCAAGTCTCTTTTCCTCCCTTATATTTACACAGGCTACTCCTGCCCCAGGGCAGGTGTAACACTCAAAAAATCTTGCCCTCCTCTTGCACAGGTCAAGAATATTTACAAAGTAAAAACTCTGGTTCCCTGCTGAGTCTCTTAAACTTCTAAACTTCTCAAGTTGATACAAAGTATCAACCATAAAAGGACTAACAGCTTTTCCTCTAATGACAGGAAAAGAGAAGGATGCCAACTTTCACCACTTCTAGTCAATGACTCCAGTATGGTCACCAATCCTTTTTTTCTAGTCTAGCAGTTCTAGCTAGAGCAACAGGCAAAAGAAACAAAAAAGGAAAGGGAAAAGTAAAATGTATCTTTGTTATAGAGGACCTGACCCCATATGTAGACACTCTTAAATATTCCACACAGAACTGTTGAAAATAATAAATTAAGTCAGAAGAAGTTCCAGATAACAAATCAACACAAAATAATCATTGACAGTGAACAATACAAAAAAGGAAATTCAGAAAAAAATCTATTTACAAAAACATCAAAAAACCAAAATACTTATAAACTTACTTAACTCAGGAGGTGAAAGACTTCTATACTGGTAGCTACAAAATATCCCTGAAAGATATTAAAGAAGGTACAAAAAATGTTTTTTTCTATGGGACATCCCACGTCAATATATTGAAAGATGTAGAATTGTTTAAGATGTCAGTACACTAAATAGTTAACACTAAATAGTTAAGATAGTTATTATTACTAATTACTATTAGTTCATTGAAAAGAAAGGTTTGTTCCTATATTGTTTGATCAATTTTTATGCCTGTATCTTGTAAAATAAGCAACTACTCTGAAGATAACAATACACAATGTACTAACCATTGTTACTCTCCTACAATCTTGTTTTGAAATTTCGTACCATTGTTTTTATTCTTTTTTTCTTTAAGATAAGAAAAGATCATACTACCCAAAAGTGACCATCAGATTCCACGCAGATACCAAAATTCCTATGACTTCTTGGGAATAGAAGTAGAAAAAAAATTCAAATAGAATTAGAAGGAAACCTAAATACTCAAACAACTTTTGAAAAAAAACAAAGTTAGAGATCTCATATTTCTTGATGTCAAAACTAAAAACTAACCTACATTGTTACAAAACAATGAGATATCACTATTTGTTATATACTTAGCCAGGAAAAAATTCAAAATAGTGGCAACATCAAATGCTGGCAAGGATGTAGGGTAATAAGAACTCACTCACTTCTGGTAGAAATGAAAAGTGGTATCACCATTTTGCAAAATAGTCTGACAGTTTACAAAACTAAACACTCTTACCATATGAATCAGCAATCATACTCCTTGGTATTTATTCAAGTGAGCTGAAAACACGTCCAGACAAAACTCTGGACATGAATGTTTATAGCAGCTGTATTCATGACTGCCAACACTTAGAAGCAACTGAGATGGTGTTTAGTGAGTGACTGGATTAAATGTGTGCATATAGAAAATAAAATATTATTTAGTGCTAAAGAGAAATAAGCTGTCATGTTACAGAAATGGAGGAACTTTAAATACATATTACTAAGTGAAAGAAGTCAATAAGAAAAGGCTATATACTGTATGATTCCAACTGTATAACATGCTGGGAATGGCATAACTACCGAGATGGTCCACAAGAAGGCCAATAAAAAGATTAATAGATGTGAGAGTGTGCAAGGGAAGAAGAGATTAATAAGCAGGGCACAAATGATTTTCAGGGCAGTAAAACCACTCTGATAAAGTCATACACATTTTACAAAACTTATAGGACATAAAACACCAAGAGTGAACCTTGCTGTAAACTGTGAGTAATCACGGGGTATCAATGCAGGGTTTTCAGTTATAATAAATGACTACTCTGATTCAGGACTCTGATATTGGGGGAGGCAATAAGAAGAGGGGCTGGCAAGAGCCAGATGGAAAATCACTGAATCTCCAGCTCAGTTTTACTGTGAATACAACACTCTTCTAAAAAATAACAAACAATGAGCCAGGCATGGTGGTGTCTGTAATCTAAGGCTGAAATTAAGGCAGGAGAAATGTGAGTAAGGCCTGCCTGGGTAACTTAATGAGACATTGTCTCAAAAATAAATAAGTAAATAAATAAATAAAAATAAAACAAAAAACAGGCGTGGTATCTGTATAAAGACAGATATATAGACTAATGAAATAGGATAGTTCAGACATTAGTCTCTGCATATACGGGCAAATGATGATGCTGTTGTTAAGACAGGGTCTTGCTATGAAGCCCAGGCTGGCCTTGAACCTGTGGGGATTTTCCTACCTTGGCCTCCTGAGCGCTGGGATTACAGGCAGGAACAACCATGCCCAGCAGGCAAGTGATTTTTGATAAAGATGAC